AACGGCTAACTTTCCGTTAAACTAAAACGTAGTATAATACTGCGTTTCAGTTAGAAAGATAACTTTTTTTTTTAGCTGTATAAAGGTATTTTGAGTTCAAAATACCATTATTTAGGTTTCGGGGCTGGAAATAATGTTTGTGATTAAAAATAAAAAAAAAAACTCAAGAATGTCTTCACGTATGGGAAAAAGTAAATAGTACCCAAAAAAAAAAGGACATTGTCCTTGATATATTGAAAGGAAAAAGTAAATAGTACAAAAAATGTCACGGTACTTGATATAGAAGATGACATAAAGTAAAAAGTTGGCATGGAAAAGGATAATTAAATAGTGATTCTACAAGCAAATATTGTTCAGAAAAGAAAGTAAATATATGGAAATTATAACTCTTCCAATAGTGGGAAGACCAAATAAATTACCTGCTTTGGCTTTCTCTCAAGCTTGTGTATTGATTTCTCCAGAGAATGAAGTATAACTTAATGAATCCACAGTACTCTTTTTATAGGTGTAAGAGTAAGACACAACATCAAGTCTCTTTTCTCAGTTGAACTCCAAATTAAGTTCAACTCGGAATACCGTGAAATCAGGCCGTGGATCTCTAAAGAAAATATTTTGAATGATCAAAATTAAAGCATATCTTTGGAAAAGTCTAATCAGGATAAGACTATTACATAACCTCTTGTAATTAAGGGTATGTTTGGCACGAAGGAAAATGAGTTGTTTTATCACCAATTTTCCTGTTTGGTTGGTGATTGGAAAACTTTTTCCGAATAATATTTTCTAGTGTTTAGTTAGAGAGTATAAAATATTTTTTTATGTTAATCTCCTCATCCCATTCCCCTAAGTTCCCATGTTTCTTTGCCCTCCCCTCCCCCCCTCCCCCCCAAATATCCAACATTTTTAGCATTCTATTTATCTTCAACAATTTAATTATTCTTCTAAAAATTCACACATACCCTACTTTTCTTTTTTACGCAAATTTAAAGAAATGATACGAAGATTCCAGGAGCCAAAATAATTAAAATGAAAATGTGCGATTACCCTGTAAAACCTTTTAAGAAAAACATTATGAAAGAAGACGAAATAGGCATTTAATGTTAGAAGAATTGCGCTTATAAAATTATGGATTAGAAAAACTAATTTGCCAGTATTTTTTATAGAGCGGCCAATGCTGTAACAAGAAACAGTTTCTCTGAACAAGATGGAAATTGTTTAAATTTATGGATAAGAGAATTGGAAAAAGATAGAGTTAAATAGTTACATAAAAGATACTGGACTTTGGTATAAGGATATGCTTTTAAATTATCCAGTTTAAAATAAAGTAATTATTTTATTGAAATAAAAAAAATATTTTTTCTACATCATCAAAAGAACATACTTATTTTGTTAAAAAAAAAAAAATATTTTTTTCACATTATGAAAAGAAAATACTTTTTTTGTTGAAATAAAAGAAAATACTTTTTTCTACCACAAAAAGAAAATACTTTTTTTGTTGAAATAAAAGAAAATACTTTTTTCTACCACGAAAAGAAAATACTTTTTTTATTGAAATAAAAGAAAATACTTTTTTCTACCACAAAAAGAAAATACTTATTTTGTTGAAATGAGGAAAAATATTTTTTCTATATCATGAAAAGAACTTTTTTTGTTAAATTAAAAAAAACTTTTTTATATCATAAAAAAAAATACTCATTTGTTAAAATAAAAAAAATATATCTATAACATGAAAAGAAAGTGCTAGTAATAATATTTTCATTTAGGCTGAGGTGAAGGTGGGGTGGGACGGGGGTGCGTAGAGTAGGGGTGGGGTGGGTAGGTGGGTGTGGGGATGAGTTGGTGGGGTGTGGGTTAGGGTGGAAAGGTTGGAAAATAGTTATGGAAAATATTTTTCCTTCTCTTGATGTGGAAAATATTTTCCTCCAATTGGAAGAAAATGAGTTCATGAGAAAAATATTTTTCAAAATATTTTGTCACGCCCCAAAATCCGAGCAGCGCGACCGGCGCTCAACCGAGTAAACCCGACCGATCAAGCCTGTTAGGTCTCATTCTACCCAAACTAACTCATGAATAAATAGGAGATGGACTCCATTAATCAAATTCTATAAACATATCAATAACAATTTCCATTTCATTTTCATTAGAAACTTCATTCGCCACTTTAAAGGTATTACAAGTTTTATACATCATTGCCAAACATCAACATTTCTATTTAAAATTCCCATGCCCGACACTACCCACAACCTGTCTACGGAGCCTCTAACTACAACTAAAGAATAATATGGAAATGCCGGCAACAAGGCTCCGCCTATACCTTACACAAATACCAAAATGAGACTCCGGGAAGAAGAGCGGCATGAGCCGCACAGGGCCCCGAGAGGAAAGGGGCTCACCAATACAGCTGACGGGAAATGGATAAGGTGCTACTGTCGGTGGACTGAAGTACCTGCACCTACAATCATAACACGAATGTAGCGCCCCCGGCAAAAGGGACGTCAGTACATTTGAATTGTACTGGTATGTATGAACAAACTTCACCCCAGGTAGAATCAAATAACACACAAGTAACATATATCAATAGAATCAACGATCAAATGCACGTGAAAGAAACAATCAAAGCCAAACAAGTTTCACAATCTCTCCTTTTCCCCTTCAACATTATCACATCAATGATTTCACAATTTATAAACAGGTATGTAACAGTAATAGAAACAATAAATCAGATCCACAAAGAGGGCACAATCAAGCCAAACAAGTATACAATCTCTCCTGCTTCCCCTTCCACATTTCCACATCAATAATTTCCCAATTTGTTCATTTTTTCGTTTCAATAGTGATTTCGATCACTTTCCACCCTTATTACCTCGGCCACCCTTATCACCACAACCCACACCTTATTACTTCGTGTTGCGGCGCGCAACCCGATCCCACCGAACAATCACAATTCACAAACAACACACAACAACAACAATTCACAAGAACAACAACAACAATTCTCAAAGAACAACCACAACAATTCACAAGAATTTCCGTAGCCATCAATACCATTTCATCATATTCAACAATTCATATGCAATTTAAGTCACCACAATAATTACCCACAACAAGCCAAATATGTTATTACCACAGTTGTTCCAAGTGCATCATTTACGATTTCCTTCCATCATTTGTTTCTCAGTTCTTTCCACATAACACTTTCACAATCACACACCCATATTTGATTTGTTTCCATTTACTTGCACCATCATATCGTAAGACTTAACCAACAACGTTCAAGGCATTAATCACAAAAATTCACAAATAGCTCACATAAGTAAACACATACTTCCATGTCGACATCCTCAAGCTTTTACAAACTTTGCACATAACAAGATAGGCACATCAAATCACTTCTCACAATCACATATAACTTGGTGGTATGGAAATCAATTAAGGCAATCAATTCACATATTTTCATACAAGGTACACATACCGTATGCTCGTCACAACAAGGGGATTCTACAAGAGATAAAGTTAGCCATACATACCTTTCTTGAGCTTTCCTTTAATTACTACGATATTCCGGAAATTCTAGCAACTTCAATCTATTTTGGGACATAGCAAAATTGAACACAAATTAGGAAGATATTCATAATTCTAGCTCATTTGAGCATTTTATCAAATACTAGTTGAGCATCTTGATTTCAAATCCCCTTTCCAAAATTTTCTTCATTCCCTAACCCAATCCTTACTTATTTATGTTAAGCGATCTTCCCATAAACCTAAGTTGTACATGCATGTATATACAATATTAATACACCCAAGAATCATACCTTAATAACCCATCTTATACTCCAAACTCGAAATTAAAACCTAGGGTATAGAATCTTACCTCTTAGATGAAGAACTTGTGATTGGGATCTTTGATTCTTGAAGATTGATGCAAGTTTGGATGATTTAAATGTTGGGTTCCTCCTTCTCTCTCTAAAATGCTCTCATCTCTCTCTAAAATCAGTAGAAAATGACCCCAAAATGAACTCTAAAGCCTATATATTAAAATGGGGTCGGGTTATAAAAATTAGAAAATTAACCCTCCGATGTCAAGTCTGTTATAGCAGAATGGACCGCAGAACGCGAATGCTGGCCGCATAATGCACCGCAAAATCGGCGTCCAAAACTGGGCTACACTGGTCGAATTTGCGACCGCAGATCAAAAATGCGGACCGCATAATGGACATTGAGATCGCAGATCTGACACAGGATCACATTTTTTTCCAGCCTTTGGTAATTTGATCATAACTTTGTGTAGGAATGTCCAAATGACGAACGGTTTGAAGCGTTGGAAACTAGACTTGAAGACCTTTAATTTGATAGGTTATCCATCACCTAAAACCTTATAGATATTTAGATATGCTCGTTCAAAGTAGGGACTAGTGCAAGATCATTGGGAATTTTAGCCTATTATGGACTTTTCCAATTTTTCTTAGACTTAGGCCTTTCCTTGGATCCCAAATTACTTACCATAAGACTTGTACACATATTTACCAAATCCAATGGATGTACACCATGTTAATAGCACATAAAAATATTATAATAAGCCTACATGACACCACGAAATTCTAAATTACTTAGCGAAAATTTCTGGGACCTTACATATTTAAGACAATCAAACATGAAAAAATTAGAAAACATTTTTGAAAAAATATTTTCCTTCGTACCAAAGACATCATAAGTATTCGATAGATTTGAGTGCATCCCCGAATTTTGAGTAAAAGTAGGAGGACATATTTGCACCATGTTATCGGACGGTTAAATATTTTCTATATTATAGAAGAGCTAGAGTTTCGACCTGTGTGTTTTTTGGTATTAAAATGCAAAACAAGGGTAATATAGACATTTCACTTATGTTAGGTTACATGTCTTCTAATCTGAATAGCCACGTTTGCTATATGATCTCTTCTGAACAGCCACGTTTGCTATATGATCCATCTTCTCGAAAATATTTCCCACTTGCTAAACTAATCTTAAGTTCTAAACACCAATTTTCTCTTATTGCAGCGTCTCCGCAGTAGATTCCACATTTTGACATGGTGCTTTGTCGGATTTTTTTGCAATTTTTACTAGGTAATTATTTTAGTTTTGTTTTCTTTTTCCTCCTTTTTCTGGGTTGCGTTGTTCCTGGTTCCTTTATAGATATGTGTCATTGTCTTCAATTTATTTATTATTGTTGTGTGTGGTTTTTCTTTCATCCTCTCTATAGATCTTAATGTCAGGAGAAGGAAAATTAGCTTTGTCCTGCATTTGCAGGTAACGAATTACTCATGCCTGTGGCATTCCCTGTAAGCTAGATTTTACGGGCAGAGAAATACTCCTCCTATGTTGAAGCTTCAGTTTTGGGAAAGGTAACAATTGTTGATTCGTCTGGAACATTCTTAATCTCATTCTTTCGTTCTTTTGTTATTTTAGTTTTGTTTGGGTTTTCAAAGTGGTACTTAGACCATCTCCAATGCTACTCTATTTGTTGCACCATATCCAAATTTGGTGCAAGAAATGGTGTTTTTTTGCTCCAATGCAACACTATTTCTTGCACTATTATAGAGCATGAGATTTGGTGCAAGAAATGGTGTTTTTTGCTCCAATGCAACACTATTTCTTGCACTATTATAGAGCATGAATAGTGTTGCACCAAATTTGGTGCAACACTACTCATCACTCTATATTTGGTTTATTAATATTTTATTCAATCTTTTTATTTTTGTAATTTTAATTTATTATAATTAATTTTTATATTAAGATCTTTATAATTTTAATTTTATATCCTATTTTTTGATATATTAATTTTTGTATATATTATATTTATATAAAATTATAAGTTAATTTTATTATTATTAT